CTGCCAGGGCGAGGGTTAAACTTCGATGACCTTCAGTGACCAATGGTTAGCAGTGACGTGACCCCCGTCCGCCAGCTTACCGTGGCTGCACCGGTCCTCGCCTCTCTGGCCATCGCCTCAGACCACCAGAGGGTTCGTAGAGAAAACGGAACTGAGTGTACCAACAGACTCTCCTAGTTTGGATTTGTGACACCGTCTAGCACCGTCACAAAACAGCCATTCTGGATGTATTATCGTGTTATTGTCTTATACGTCACACACACTGGTTGGGACGTGCCGACTGGAGGTGCCAGCGGCAGCTATATCGGTGACGTCACGCTCTCCATTCCCACCAGATACGAGGTGCACCCAGCCACAGGCTGTGGATCACTGACCAACAGAACACCCGGCCCGCCACGGGCTGTGGATCACTGACCCACAGAACACCCGGCCAGTCACGGGCTGTGGATCACTGACCCACAGAACACCCGGCCCGCCACGGGCTGTGGATCACTGACCCAGAGAACACCCGGCCAGTCACCGGCTGTGGATCACTGACCCACAGAACACCCGGCCAGCCACGGGCTGTGGGTGGATCACTGACCCACAGAACACCCGGCCAGCCACGGGCAGTGGGTCACTGACCCACAGAACACCCGGCCCGCCACGGGCTGTGGATCACTGACCCACAGAACACCCGGCCCGCCACGGGCTGTGGGTGGATCACTGACCCAGAGAACACCCGGCCAGCCACGGGCTGTGGGTGGACCACTGACCTACAGAACACCCGGCCAGCCACGGGCTGTGGATCACTGACCCACAGAACACCCGGCCCACCACGGGCTGTGGATCACTGACCCACAGAACACCCGGCCAGCCACGGGCTGTGGGTGGATCACTGACCCACAAAACTCCCGGCCTGCCACGGGCTGTGGACCACTGACCCACAGAACACCCGGCCAGCCACAGGCTGTGGATCACTGACCCACAGAACACCCGGCCAGCCACGGGCTGTGGGTGGATCACTGACCCACAAAACTCCCGGCCTGCCACGGGCTGTGGACCACTGACCCATAGAACACCCGGCCAGCCACGGGCTGTGGATCACTGACCCACAGAACACCCGGCCAGCCACGGGCTGTTGATCACTGACCCACAGAATACCCGGCCAGCCACGGGCTGTGGGTGGATCACTGACCCACAGAACACCCGGCCAGCCACGGGCTGTGGATCACTGACCCACAGAACACCCGGCCAGCCACGGGCTGTGGATCACTGACCCACAGCACACCCGGCCAGCCACGGGCTGTGGATCACTGACCCACAGAGTACACCCGGCCAGCCACGAGTTGTGGATCACTGACCACAGAACACCCGGCCCGCCACGGGCGGTGGATCACTGACCCACAGAACACCCGGCCCGCCACGGGCTGTGGATCACTGACCCACAGAACACCCGGCCAGCCACGAGTTGTGTATCACTGACCCACAGAACACCCGGCCAGCCACGGGCTGTGGGTGGATCACTGACCCACAAAACTCCCGGCCAGCCACGGGCTGTGGATCATTGACCCACAGAACACCCGGCCAGTAACGGGCTGTGGATCACTGACCCACAGAACACCCGTCCAGCCACGGACTGTGGATCACTGACCCACAGAACACCCGGCCAGCCACGGGCTGTGGATCACTGACCCACAGTACTCCCGGCCAGCCACGGGCTGTGGATCACTGACCCACAGAACACCCGGCCAGCCACGGGCTGTGGATCACTGACCCACAGAACACCCGGCCAGCCACGGGCTGTGGATCACTGACCCACAGAATACCCGGCCAGCCACGGGCTGTGGGTGGATCACTGACCCACAGAACACCCGGCCAGCCACGGGCTGTGGATCACTGACCCACAGAACACCCGGCCAGCCACGGGCTGTGGATCACTGACCCACAAAACTCCCGGCCTGCCACGGGCTGTGGATCACTGACCCACAGAACACCCGGCCAGCCACGGGCTGTGGGTGGATCACTGACCCACAGAACACCCGGCCCGCCACGGGCTGTGGATCACTGACCCACAGAACACCCGGCCCGCCACGGGCTGTGGATCACTGACCCACAGAACACCCGGCCCGCCACGGGCTGTGGATCACTGACCCACAGCACACCCGGCCAGCCACGGGCTGTGGATCACTGACCCACAGAATACCCGGCCAGCCACGGGCTGTGGATCACTGACCCACAGAACACCCGGACTCCGCAGCGTTTGGTACAGCACCGTGAGTGAATGGGGCGGAGATCACTGACTGACGTCAACACGGGTGACATATCCAGCTCAAAATATCTACCAGTGGAGGATAGCCCGTGTCAGAGCTGTCCGAACAGTCCAGCTGTGACATTTGTACTTTTATTTACAGCATAGCACTGAGCAGGGATATCCCCGTTTCGGATTTCCAAAAATAGCTCATGTAAAATGGCAGGAAGGTGACACAACTTTGAGTGACCTCGTAGTCATCGATTCTACAACTTCTCGAGCTAGAAATCGAATGACCCTGATAACAATAACCCTTGATCAATGACACCTCTCGAGATCACGTCAGGCCAGAATGGCGATTGGACGTAACAGCAAAGAAAATATCTGCATATGCGGGAAAAATTGCGTGATGTGTGCGTAGTGCGTACGACAACGGAAGGATCACTGTTCGTTCTAACTTCTCGGAGGAGAAGGCAAAATTGTGATTTCCCAAGGGCTATGAACATCAAATCTTTTTTTCGTGAAACATAGCGATTATTTCCGGGCTCGGGCTCTGTCCTTGTCACGTGGCCATCATTCTAGTCCATACTTCAAAACTGGTGTCATTGTTAGCACTTAGCAGCATGACAACGGATGTAACGGACGATCTACGGTAGAGGTGTAACGGAACCGGTGTTTGGGTGTCAATTAACGCCTTACTGTACACCCTAGGCCAGGGCCTAGACCCAGTCAAACCTATGTACAGTTGGAGATTTGAACGCTGGTTATGAACGGCATGCCCTAAATCCCAGAAATATTACGTTATTAGATCTCTCAGTGCTAGTGACAACACAAGGACATGTGGATTTACATCAAACTATATCCCCAACAAAAGCGCTGCCACCGACTTCACCACTGCATTGCGTCAGTCGCTGCCACTGGACGGACACGGCCACAGAGCGTTCCCTCTTATCTGTGTTCCTGTCGGGGTCGGTATATATCTACAGCGGCGTCGGCCGGCCTCAGTCAGTCCGGGAGAGTCAGAGCAGCCGGCAGCCATGTCACGAGCTGACTTGTTCGGTGTGGGGAAGGAGGAGCGGAAGAGGAGGTTGGAACGGTGCTTTGACTGGAGAGTGAAGAAACTAGCAGACAAGTATGGATCGTGTGCACATCTCATCCCCGACACTCTGCTGCTGGCACGTGACATTCGGAACAACCACTCCACCGGGTGGCAGGCCTACTGTACCGCGGCTGAGGTAAGGCACACTGTCACCGGGCTGGTAGATTATCCACTCATGGCAGCCCTGCAGGATATCAGTGACGCCGCCGCCACCCGTTGTCGGCACTGTCAGCCCAACCAGCCCCTCAGAGTGGCCTCCATGAATCCATCAGGCAGCAGTGCCGAGGGGCTGATGGACGGGATAGTCGGCTTAGGGGGAACGTCTGATTTTGATCTGATGTTCGAGTTCGACGGACCATTCCAATGGGCGGCGCTCGGAAAGAGAGAGGAGCCGGACGTTATTACGCCACAGTCGGCACCGCAGCTGTGGGCTCGACCGACCAAAAACCCTGGATTTGTGACGCTGCACTGGGTCAAGACGACTAAATGCAGTCATTATAAGCCGCTGGAGGCCTTGCCGGCCGACTCCATCCGCCAGCTAATGGTGGCATCATGTCGGGCTATGAGAAGTGGCAAAATCAGCACCGCCGGACCAGCTGTCAACGTCAAGACATGACGTTGAATGATGTTACAGACGGTGGCACCGACTTTGTGCCGTGCATTCTTGTGCGCGGGTGGTGGCCGGCTGAAGACCAGCTCGACGGCTGCCACCTGGAGGTGGACTTCCCGCCAGCGGCGGCCAGGGCTGACATCCGACGATTTGGAGTACACCTTGTGCCGACCGGCCGGCACGGCAGCGACACCGAATTAATCGAGTTTCGGATTTCCTACTCACGGGCGGAGGTGATCACGGTTCGACACCTCGCTCCAGTCATACGATCAGCTATTGTTGCAGTAAAAGCCATGAAAAATACGTTGAAAAAGAGCGAGGTGATAAGCGAAGATGTGCCATTAAAATCATACTTTATAAAAACGGCAGGACTCTGGCTAGCGCAAACCACGCCAGCTTTAACCCTCGCCCGCACATGCCATTTTCCCATCCTAGAACGCACATGGGGGGGGTGGTTGCCACCCCCCCCGCGCCATTTCGTTCCTGTTGGAGATAGAGCTTAGCAGTAAAGACCAAAAAGATTCTTTGGGAAGAGACGAATCCAATGATACCCAGTTTTACCTTCTCAGGTCAGTCATTGACCTTCCAGGTCAGGTCAAACTAAAAAATGTTGCTGTTTTGGGTCACCGTTGGATATCAAGTGTGCTGCTTATCAAATACCGATGACGATGCTGTTTTCTGGTGCCAAGCCAGCTAGAACCTCTTTGTCACACTACCCGACCAGAATTTTGCTGCTGAGGTCATTTCAGGTCAAGTTAGGTCAAGGTCAATTATATGTGTTTGTATGTGTGTGTGTGTCTGTGTGTATACTGATGTGTGCACCGATTGTTTTTGGGTCCATATTACATGAAATCATGATCTGAGAAGCTTTTACCAAAAATGCAGTCAAAAAACTTCAAAAAAAGTAAATTCAGCTTGCCTATAACGCAATTATCTTAGATGACCTAGGTTGACCTTGACCCTGACCTTGACCCCTGTACATCGTCGAACAACATGTTCCATGATAGGTGGGAGGTAAGACTGGCAAAAAAGGCCGAAATCAGGGTGTCAAAAGCTCATAAGGCCCATGGCAAACGCAAGATGTTGAGAATTGGCCATTTGGGTCATGACATGACCTGAAAAACAAGGTCATATCTCCGAAACCAAAAATCACAGGAACTTGAAATTTTCAGTGGACATCAAGAAAGGATAGAGGAGCAGCTATACGAAAAATCAGCCTTCTAGCTCTAAAAATGTTGAGTGCAGAGCAGAAAGACTACCTGGGGGGGGTGGCAACCACCCCCCCCATGTGCGGGCGAGGGTTAATGTGGAAAGGCGTCACCGACGGTGTCAACAAAATACTTGACTGGCTGGAGGATAAATTGAACGCCGGGAAAATTCCGTGTTTTTTCGATCATAACATCGATGTGGCAGCTGAGCTCAGCACCGTAGAGCGGCGGGCTATCATTGACATCATATAGCTGATGAGGGAGAATGTCGCGCGTCTCCTGATGACAAGCTGTGTAAATCAGTCGAAGGTGGATCTGCTGCTGGAGGGTGGGCTGGAGCAACTCACAGAGCGCCAGCTGGAGTCAGAGCTGCGGCTCCGTCTCGGAAGGACGCTCGTACGACAAGGCTGTACTTGACGGTGTCGGTTACCGCCACACAGCCCCGTGCTGGGAGTGCTGGCGGAAGGAGAACATCCCTCCACTGGTCCACACGGCACCACTTCTACTACAGTGGTGGCATTACGCCATATCAGGAACATACCGGCAGCAATGTTACCTGTTCATGGCGTGGGTGGTGGTCGACTTGGCAGACCTGCTAGACGGGACGCCAATGACGTCACAGGTCAATGACATCGTCACGCTGGACGTGGCCCCCCTGATACAACTCCTCACAAGGTCCGACTTGGAGCTTCTGCTTGGTTACCCGGACAAGGTGGCCACCTGGTGTAGTAAGCAGCTGCGGCGGCCGCTGGAGGAACGGCCGGCCGGACTGACCGCCGGGCTGGACACGCCTCGGGGCCGTGCCGAGCTGCTGCTGCGGCCTGAGCTGCTGCTGCAGGCTGTCCGAGTGAACGTACCGGGTAAAATGAACTGGTGGCGGGATATAGATTGGAAAACGAAGAACAGATGGATTGAACACTTCCGACCAACATACGAGTATACCTACCAGAAGATCCGGGAGATGTTGGAGCAGCACATCAACAATAACCTGCATAAGTTTCTCCACGTCAAACTACCAGAGATGGACGCCTCAACTGTGGACGCCACGGCCGGCCTCTGGCGCCGCCGGCTGCAGCAGCTGCTGTCCGGTGACCGGCTGCGGACGATGTACAACGCTATCACCGGCTGGTGGCCGGACCGGTGGGAGATGACGTCGCACTACCTGGCGGTGCACGAGGCCGACTCAGAGGGTAAGACGATAGTGATGCCAATCAATGCTAAATTCCGTCGTTTCATTTGCTTTCAAGTTCCAGTGTCATTCCAGAAACGACTGAGAAATACCTACATACTAGTGCAATTAATGAAAATCGATATGCGTCAATGTTGTAATCTTCCCGCGGTCAGATGCTGTTTTATTCATTCTATCATTGAGTTGTAGTTGTTTAGTGCTAAGCAGTTCGTCGGTTCAACGCCCAAACATCAAATATTTTATATCCAACTGATATATTTCAGAGTCGGAGCAGGATGACGACGACGGTCAGGCCGGTGGCGAGGAGCGGCGCAGCGCAGACGAGGACCAGACATCAGGGGGTCTGCCCAGCCCTCAGCGAGAGAAATGGCAGCAGCTGGAGCGACAGCACCAGCAGCTGTGGCAGCAGCTGGAGCGGCGGGGTCACGGGGAAAGGAGGAGTCTCAACCAGCAGCATGATGAGGAGCGTCGGCGTCTGGAGCGGATTCATGACAGAAAGTGGCAGAGCATGGAAATGCGGCACCATGACGAGCGGAAAAGGCTCCATCAGCGGCACGAGAGTGTTAACAGGTGCGTGGAGCTGCAGTATCAGGGACAGGCGCAGCAAGAGAGACGTCAGAGGCAGTTGGAGCTGCTGGACCGGAGAAACCGAAGGCAGTGCGCGGTACTGGAGCGACAGCACCAAATAGAGTGGGGAGACCTGGAGCAGAAGGTCCAAACGCAGTGGAACAAACTGAAACAGAAACACCTCAGGGAGTCACAAGAGCTGGAGGAGAGATACCCGAACATGCAGTCCGGGGAGGAGCTGGATCAGCTCATGGAGGAGTGCAGCAGGAGGCGTCGGCAGCTGCGGAAGAAGCTGGAGAAAGAGCTGGAGAAGAAGCTGGAGAAGGAGCTGGAGAAGAAGAAGGAACTGGAGAAGGAGCTGGAGGAAGAGAAGGAGAAGGAAAGCAGGAAGGTGCAGGAGAAGATCTTCAAAGTGAAGAAGGGGGAGGAAAAGCCAGTTGAGCGTGGTAAGGTTTACTGTTAATAACATTGCTTGTCAACAATTTTGCATGTAAGTCATGTCAGCGAAGCAGCCTGCTTTGCATGTTTTATGTTGATTTTATAGCCGGAGACTATTTGAAAATGAATAGAAACACCCTATAACTCTTTCATTCAGGATCTTTGTAAGTCTTTCCTTCTGATTTCAGACCAGCAAAAGCGACAACAACAACGACAACAAGAACAACAAGAACAAGATCAACAACAACAACAACAACAACAACGACGACGACGTCAACAACAACAACATGAACCAGAACCACAACAGCAGGAGCGGCAGCCGAGCCGGCGCTGTCAACACCTGCGGAACCTGGTAGAGGTGACGCGAAGACACCGCCAGCAGCTCATCCAGCTGCAGGAGCGGCACAACCAGGAGCTGGAGGAGCAGAGGAGACGTCACCGGCAGGAGAGGGAGGATCTGGAGCGGCGCCTCAGCCGCCGGCGGCACGGCCAGGAGCGGCGCCACCCACAGTGACCGGCGTGAGTTGATTTCTTTGTGGACAATTATTCCAGTATTTTGCGTTTTCATTACATAATGACGAGAAAATACTGTTAATAAATATGTACTAATAAATACGTGTATTGTATTTTTCATGTTGTTTCGGTCGTCTAATGCCTCATATTTGATTTATACAAGCCTGTTCTGTTTGTGTTTCAGGATATCAGCGGAGTCACGGTGACAAACTCAGGGAGGCGCCACTACGGAGAACAAGTCGAGAGCGAGATATTTGTAGCATCAGAAATGGTGGGAATATGTCGCTAGTGTAGATGCTGGGATTGATAAAACGAGACCAGTTGCATTTTTATTAATGCTTATAACGTTAGTGCTCATGTGATGGCGATGTTAGCAATGCATATAGCGTTTGTATCGTCATAGTTGATATAAGGTATGTGTTGTCTTTACGACTGCAAAATGTAGTTATTATCCCTCGCCGGCACAGGGGGAGGGGGAGGTTGATGCAACCCCCCCCTAAGGTTTTTCGCGAATAACTCGCGTAAAAAGCGGCCGATCGCGACGAAACTTTCAGTACTCTCGCATTGATCAATTTTACACCAACCCTAAAAACTTCATGACCCTGGCCCCAATGACCTTTGACCTGTGACCTCTTTTCTGTGACCATGTTTGGCCGAAATCGCGGTTCGGCGCATGTCGGCTCGCATTAGCCGCGCGTTTGCAAGCTTTTCGTGGTTTCAAACGTTCAAACATGTGATTTGATGTTGCTCCCATGCATTAGGGTGGGTGTCAAGGTCACCTGAAGGTCAGGTCAGGTCATTGACCTTTGGTGACCTCGGGTGACCTCGGTTCACTTTTTCGAGTTTTACATGTTTCTAGGCTAGTTTTTGGAGCTGAATTCGAATTTAGCAACCATTTGAACATTTACGAAGTAGTTTTGGTGCCTTCGTAACATGTTACGAAGCTGTCTGAGGCGATTGACACGTATTACGAATACCCGTCACAACCCCTACCGGTTGACCTGACCCGACCTGACCCGACCTGGTCTAAATGCTTACAGACATCATCTCTGATCAAAACTAACACGATATTCGTGATCAGCTCCCCGGAAAACCACATAGCAGCCACACTTTACGACTTTCTAACAGGTCCCGTTTTTCCCTGTTTTCGGGTCATTGACCTGACCTGGAAGGTCACCCGATGACCTAGGACCTTAAAATTGGGTATCATCGGGTTCCTCTCGTGACGGGCAACACGCTCGTTTTTTCCGCGAAGCTCTAGCTCGATCAGGGGCCAAACGCGAGAAGGGGTCGTACCAACCCCCCCCCCCCTTGTGCCGTCGAAGGACTCAAAATGGCCTGTGCCGGCGAGGTTATGACTAATGCTATAGATGGTGACATTGATGTTGGCTCTCCGAACACCTTATGTTGGTTATGGGCTGTTTTTCATGACACATGTATTGTGCAGTGTTGTGAAGCTCTGTAAATACTATACAAACAGCCGTCCCCATCCCCATCTTTCGATGACAGAACACAAGGCCAGCTGTCGATGTGGTGGTGGGAATCTGTGTAACGAACCGTTACATCAAAGCCATTGAATATGTGGGCTACTGGAAGCAATGTACATAATATCAGAACGAAATACGAGTAACCTATACAAGAGCGACGAGCCACCGGACTCCACCGATAGCGCTGCTCCGAACCACCGCGTCCAACACAGGAAGGGTGACGGCCACTGCAGCCGCAGCTGGCCAGGAAGGACGTCAGATAGGCGGGCCGGCAACACTGGCGGATCCAGGGGGGGGGGCACGGGGGCCATGCCCCCCCCCCCCCAAGGCCTTAAGTGGCCTGTTTGGCCCCCCAAAAAACGTCAGAAAAATTGCTAAGAAAATATACCTTGATAGAGGTTTTTAGCCACTTGGTGAAGTAAACCTTTCCACAGCATAATATGGAAGCAATATGGTAGCAGTGAGGGTCAGTCGAAAGTTGCGCGAGCGGAGTCGACCTTCAAAAAAAGACTGTTGTTGGCACGTGTTTATGGCGCGGCAGCTGGTAGTTGGCGGTGTTTCGCGTGGTGTGGCATCACTGGCGGATCCTTGGGGGGGGGGGGGGGGCACGGGAGCCTGAGGTGCCCCTGACAGGCCCGTGGTGCCCTTGCTAGGCCTTTGGTGCCCCTGGACCCTGGCAGGCCTGTGGTGCCTCTGGCGGGCCTAGGGTGCCCCTGCTAGGCTGCTGATGCCCCTGGGACCTGACAGGACTGTGGTGCCCCTGACAAGCTTAAGTGCCCCCAACAGGCCCGTGATGCCCCCGACAGGCCCAAGGTGTCCCTGCGTGATGCCGTGATGCCTGCGAGGCCGTTGGTGCCCCTGCGAGGCCGGTGGGGCCCCTGACAGGCCTATGGTGCCCCTGCTAGACCGGTGGTGCCCCTGGCAGGCCTGTGGTGCCCCTGCTTGGCCGCTGGTGCCCCTGGTCCCTGACAGGACTGTGGTGCCCCTGACAGGCCCAAGGCCGGTGGTGCCCCTGTAAGGCCTGTGGTACCCCTGCTAGGCCTCTGGTGCCCCTGACTGGTCCATGGTGCCCCTGCGAGGCCGGCGGCGCCCCTGGCAGGTCTCTGGTGTCTCTGACAGACCTGGGGTGTCCCTGACAAGCCTGTGGGGCCCCTCACAGGCTCGTGGTGCCCTTGCTAGGCCTGTGGTGCCCCTGGCGGGCTGGCGGTGTCCCTGCTAGGCCGGTGGTGCCCCTGACAGGCCTGTGGTTCCCCCGGGCGTACCAAAGGGGGGGGGGGGTCATGACCCATGCGGCCCCCCTTGGATCTGCCACTGATACATAATATATATTGATTTGTGAAGGCGTTACCGTAAATTGGGGCTATTTGAAACGGAGTTTACAGTTTTTGGCCTCTCCCTTTAAAGGTAGTGTGCCACTTTCCAATGATTTCCCATTTTATTTTTCCTTGGATAAGAAGCTTCTGTTTTTACCTAATATCGCAAAAAAAAAATCAAAAATGGGCCTAAAATAGTGCTTTTTTCGCCTAAAAGTTTATCGGTTTTTCGATATGTATAACAACTGTAGTGGGCTGACCTGCAAACAGGCATCGGCAACAATCGCGAATGCGGCGCACATGTGACAATAAGCAAAGGTCATTATAGAGTGACGACGTACGGGAATGAGTTATCAGCTGTCTAATCGTAGACAACACAATGTCGAATTTAAACTGTAAGCCTGTATTGGTATTTTTTGTTTAATTTGGCTGTCGAACATTAATTTATGGTTTAAAATATTATTTTATGTAAAATAACTTATATGAAACAGCCGTCTCTAAAGTTATGACCTGTTACAAAGTCAAAAGATATACAAATTGTAGCTACTAATGACCTTATAACATCCTGTGACTTTCAAAGGCCTCCGACATCTACTGTAGCTCTGGCACGGTGACAAAGTTGCAAAAAAGTGACTTGAGGTTGGGTCATTCAAAGTGACCTGGTGACCTGACCTTAACCCTCGCCCTGGCAGGGCATTTTTCATAATACGGCCTGGCAGGGGGGGGGGGGGGTCGATGCGACCCCCCCCTCGCGATTGGCTCCTATGGCACCTAGAAACACCAAATTTGGTAGGTAGGTGGGCCCCCTGGAGTTCTCGCCCCTGTGCAAATTTGGTTGCTCTAGGTCAATATTTAGGGGGGTTTGGGGGGTATAAATGTAAAAATTTCGCTAAAAACATGTCAAAAGTTTTTCGCTTATAACTTTTGATCTATTTAAGAATGAGCAAAACGAAAAGCACCAGTGAACTCAGCACGTCAAGGCGCGTCGAATGGTATACTTTTTAGTTTGCTTAAGTGTACTTAAAGTTTTCCTTAAATTTTAAGTGAACTTTAATTAATTAATTAAGTTCAACTTAACCAAATTGCATCATATCGCATATCATTCGATTCGGCTGATCACAAGGAACACAATGACACCATTTTTTAAGCTGTAGCTTCATTATGTGCCAAGTTATTGGCAAAAACGTAATTTGACCTCGGTTGACCTCATTTGACCTGACCCATGGATAAGTAGGGGAAGGTGGGGTAAGACGGACCAGCTAAGGTTTGAGGCCGCATATCTTGCTACACTGCTCTCGTAATTCATATTATTTATAGTCTTTGGAATGCTTAATCCTTCCTCTGTTGATATGTGTAAAGACTAAATTTCAAATTAAAGACATCTAGGTGGTGGATGCTCTTAAAGAGGGACATGTCAAAAACTCAGACAAGAAAAAACGTGGGGTAAGACGGACCACCCAGCAGTGCCTGCTATCCGTTCATGTGTGTTACACTTCTGTTCTGTACTCTTGTAAGAAAAAGTAACCAGAATGATAAAATAACAAAATGAGCCTTTATTCTTTACTCATGTGTGATGGAAGTGCAGCTAAAAGCTGGGAACATGTGTGTTGATTGTCGTTTGGCATGAATGCATGCTAACTGAGCACTTGCATGCATGGCTCACATGCAACAAAGACTCCTTCCTGAAAAATTAGCTTACTTAAACTTGTGTCAATGTTTTGGAAAAGAACTTTCCATATGCAGGGTACAATGGACCACCACAGGGTAAGATGGACCACAGTGGTCCGTCTTACCCCAAATCTAAATTCTGTCATTATCATGACGTACATGTCAAATAGCCCAACATTGCAAAACCTTGCCTTTCCTAAAGTGTGACCATAACTAGGTTTATAACTTTGTTCTTCACAGTAAAGTGCAAAATAGAAACTAATCATGCAAGAAAGGCGCCGTAATTGAATCACCCGTAGACCTCTTATATTAGATCGGTTTGACGAAAAACAACATTTTTCTCAATAACTCAAAAGCTATGCATCCTAGCAGCATGAGCTCAAGGTGGCCATTGTTACGAAGGAAAACAAAAATAGTGAGTGCATAAAGCAGTAGATACCAGCAGCGGTTCAGCCGGGAGGGCTGGTGGTCCGTCTTGCCCCGCTGAGCCGTCTTACCCCACCTTCCCCTACACCAAACAAAGAAGCACAAAGTGACCTGCTGTTAAGTACTGTGGTTTCAAAGCACAAAAGTGATAGAACGAAGCGGATATCTCCAGTATTTTCCTAATTTAGTATTTTCCCATAGGCTTTACATTATGACGTAATGACCTCTAACTGACCTCAGGTCAGTGACCTCAAAAAACCCGAACTATATCCCGCGCCCTGCTGGGGGGGTGTTTGAACACCCCCCCCCCCTTGTGGTTTTTCGCGAATATCTCAAAAACGGCGGCGCGGAGCGCCGCCGTTTTTGGTACACCTTATCGTACATCAATTCTACACATGTTGTGAAAATTTCAGACCAAGGTCATTCAAGGTCAGGTCACCAGGTCACTTGAAGTGACCTCACCTCATAAAAAGTTTCAATGTCTGTCATAGCTACACCGAGTGACCGATCGCTTTGAAACTTTCAGCGATTGCTAAGAGCAATAGCATGTACAAAATGTTTATCTCAGAATTTTGATATCGATGACCTAAGGTCAGGTCAATTTTGCGACCTCCCCATTACAAGTCAATGGGAGAAAATTGAAATGCGCCTCTTTTGGACAAAAGACATTATAAACACTCCCAAACACCGAATTACAAGTGGTTCAGACACACTGAACATGAAAATGGTGTCAGTGACCCTTGTTTATGCCCTGAGGTCATCTTAGGTCACGAATGGTATCTAACAGTTTTTCGCGAATAACTTTTGATAGAGGCATGCTAGAGCGATGAAACCGCCTTAGATGTGTTCAGCTTGACGATACGGATCGACTGATATGCAACATGACCCTTTCCGGTCAGGTCATGACCTTGACCTGAGGTCAAATTTTCAAGTTGACCTTTCAAGGTTAACTTATAGTTCATTCGATGCGTCTTGACGAGAGGAACACAATGCCGGTAAAAGTAAGCTCGTACAAGGCTTGAGTCAAAAGTTATTGCAGAAAAACTGTTTCCGAAAAAATCGGCTATTTTTGCAATTTTTGCCCCCTGCAGGCAAAACCGTTGACGTTAGGTCAAATCTGAGAGAATTACTCAGAAAGGGCTTTAATAGGGCTATCGAATGCTCTTTTCCGCGGCGCTGTAACTCTATTGGTTCTCGAGTTATGCATTGGCTTCTTGGAAATTTTCGACATTCGACCTGGAAATCGGCGAAATTTTGCCTTCAATGACCTCTGGTGACCTGACCTTTGACCTGACCAAAAAATTGACCAAAGTGATTTCGTCATTATTTTTGACGCTCTTTCGAACGCCGCCTTCCGCGTATCGCTACGTGGCCCAGGAGCCGAGTTACAAGGGGGGGTGTTCAAACACCCCCCCCCCAGCAGGGCGTGGAAATCCAGGACCCCCAGCCGGGCGCGGGATATGTTATACAACTCGGTGAACTTAGCACACCCTGAAAGTTTGAAGGAAATCAGTCAAAAACTGTGAGTTGGACAGGTGCAAACAGAAAATTGAAATTTGACCATGACCTTGTACCGGTTTTTCTGACCTGGTGAC